TTTTGGATATTTTATTACGAAAATCTTACATATTGTGCCTTTAAAGGGATAGTTAAAAATACAAATGTTTCCTTGTGAAACAGAAATGGTTATTTTGCAACTCTCAAATTTCATTCGTTTTTTGTGTACATTAAAATATGGCATTCACAACCGTTCAAACGTTTGGGATCATACATTTTTTACAATTAAATTAATACTTTTATTATTATTCAGCAAGGATACATTAAATGTTACAAGTAAAACATAAAAAAAATTATACATATTAAAATTATATATGCATACATACACACATTTTTTATATTCTATTTTTGTATTCTATTTTTTATTTTATTACTTTTGAACTTTCTATGTATCACAGAACACTAAAAAAATTACAGTTTCTAGAAAAATATTAAGAAGCATAAATGCTTTTAACATCAGCAAATTAGATTTGTGTGGAGTAATAGCTGCTAAAAATCTTTGCCATCACATTTAAAAACTGCCATATTTCACAATATTACTGTTTTACTGTATTTCTGATCAAGCAATTGCAGCCTTGGTGAGCAAAAGAGAATGTTTCAAAAACATTAAAAAATCTTACCAACCCTGTATATAGAGCTTATTTTAGAGTTTGACAGCTTTCCAAGGTTGCTTTCATTTTACGGAAAAGAGCAACTTCGACATTCTGCAAAATCTCTTTTTGTATTGGTTTGGAACACCATGGGATTTTAGATTTTTGGGTGAACTATGCCTTAACCTCTCCCGCTCTAACAACAAGGCGAGCTGAACATCATATAGAAATGGAAGAATACTTACAGCTCCAAATGCCACTGAGAGCATGGTCTGCATACGGGCTTCCTCAATGGAGCTGAGCACTCCTTTCTTACTGAGCAGGGCCCTGCCGGCCAGCGTCCAGAACCGCACGTGTTTTATCCCCACTGACACAAACTGAGTGTCCGAATCAGGCCGGAACTCTGCCACAAAGATCCTCTGGGTGTGACCGGCCCGACAGGCTACTTTGGCACCTTTGAAAAGAATTTCAGATCCCAAATCTGATATAAAAGCAGAGAGCAGGCAGAGTGCCAAGTGAATGCTGTGTGTGTTGACCTGTACCTTCCTGCCACTTCCAGATGGTGAGGCTGTGCTGGGGGTCCAGACCCACAGAAAGCAGCAGTTTGCCGGTGGCACTGAAGCTTACAGAGCAAACACCCCTAGAATGATGGCAGCGCAGCACAGAGAGGGTCTGTTTATTCATGGCTTCCCACACATGGATAGAAGGAGATGTGGCTGAAAATACAAAAATAAAAATGCTTCATTTGTCCACTGTTGCTTAGATTTGTAAAGTGATATAGCTGTATTCTAAAGCCTTTTCAATTCAATTCTTAAGTTTGACAGTGATTCAATAATCAAGTGTCAGTGCGAGACAATGTTTCATGGCAACTCTGTTTTGTTTTTTGTTTTTTTT